GGGCAATAAGTAGGGTGACTCAAAACACAGCTAGCTTAGGTTCATCTCAGGAAATAGGTTGGTCTCCCTTGTCTTGGTCTGCGTGTCTCTGTTCAGCAGTCGATAGGTTAACCTGCCCGTGGCATCCATCTTGTGTGGCCTCCCTCGCATTACCATTGATCTGAAGGAAATAAAGAGCACACGTGCTATTATATACAGCCCAGAAAAACACCCTCTCACGGTGATGGAGTGAACAGGCCAAATGTATGAAATATTGCCCCTCCGACATATTCTGTCTTCCTGTCAATAGTGCAGCCTTTGCCCACAACCTGGATCAATAGGGACTTATCTTTTCATGATAACACATAACGATGTTGTCTGTTGTCTTTTTGTGGTATTGGAGTTCTAATTCTATTCCTCCGCCTTTTTAAATCATCCACACTGATATGTATATCTGGGCATGCCTCTATAACGATCTCTCGTTTTTTCCTTTGTTTCAATGCTAAAGAAATAGAATTGGCGCGGGCCTGCTAGTCGGAGACATGGCAGTTACAAATTTACATGTTGGTTTTCTGGACGTTTCTCTGAAGCTTTTGGGGGTCTCTCATGTGTGAGACTGCTCAGCGGAGAGAAGACACCCCTCTGTAAAAACATCTGTTGTGGAAATGGCTGTCAGACTCCCTTTTGTGGGCTCCGTCTCTTCCTTTCGCAGAGATTGTCATTTGTTTTGATCATTTATGTGGGTGAAAGCATAATGACAAAAAAATCTGGAGAATGTACCCAAGCAGTTGAGCAGTCTACAGTTGTGCTGTTTTTTTTTTGTTTTTTTTGTCAAGGAAAGGAAGATTCCTCTCTGATTTAGTGGCTTCGTGGTCGGCACATTGAGGCATGTCATGAAACTATGTTATTTCATGTAAAACTAAACAACAAAACGCTGCGAGTGATATGAGAAAGTGTTGAGAAATGTTTCGCAATTAAACATTTCAGTAAGCATACATTTCCTGTACATTAGTGTACAATGGCAAGCTGCTTAAAGACGATAACTGAAACTACTCCTTAATTATTCATGATGTGGTGATTGTTATCATGTATGGAAGAAGCCACTGGAAAAGAGAAATTGTCATTGTTTCTTTTAGTTCAGAGTGATTTCTTTGTTGAAAAATGCAATTCCTCTTTGCACTAAAACTGCACTCCTTTATTCTGTCTGTTTTTTAGGAGTTGGTTTAATTTAAAACAAAGTAAACGAGTACAATAGCATTTATAGAAAGTGATAAGTGATAATTATAAAACGTTGCTGTCTTGGCTGTTGAAATTTATTGCCAGCAAAAGCTTTGTGTTATGACTTTCTTTCAGAAAGGCCCAGGGTGAGGTGACGCCACTGTTCTCCGCCTACACAGGAAGTGTTTTCAGAGTACCTGTCCAGTAGTGCCACAAGGCACATCACCTCTATGTACACCCAGGTCGGCTGCCATTTGTCTCAGTCGGTCAATATGCTCTTTCAGCTAATTCCCTCTCGCTGCTCAACAGTATTATCCACTTGAAGCATAAAACAAATTCATTCTAAATAATGCATTACTTTGTATATCATTATTAAGATACATTTCAGACAAGCACAGTTTTAATAACAGATTGTATTTCCACGTTTGTATGTTTTTCCGTGTTTTCGAGGCCTTAGACAACAGAAAAATCACTGCTTTGTTGAATGATTAGCGCTAATTAAGGAATTTGTGTAATTGCATTGTGACAGCTTGCTAATCCAGCCAGAGTTGAATCTATCTGGCAGTAACAAGTAAAACATCTAGACATGTAACTTTGACAACGTCTTCTTATATCATTGTTAGAAAACAGTTCTGTGTGGACATACTGTGTTTCCTGTGAGCCCCAAGAGCCTGCTCTGATATGTTTTCACGAGTTTCCAAGCACAGCATCAATTTTCTTCCATGTTAGACATGAGGCTTTTTCTTAGTTTACACGCTGGCTGAAACCAGAATGCCACATGGGTTTACAGTGTGAATCCTGATGTTATATCTTAGAGTAATGTCAATGATGTGTCTTATTGTAGGTACCATATTCTGTTTTTCTTCATAAAAAAATGTAACTAAATAAATGAAATATGTTTTTTATTTAAAATAGTTTTTCATTAATTTGAAAAAAATTGAGCTAATTCTGTATAAAATAATCTAAACATTGTGTATGCGACCTGGTTTAAAAGGTGTAAAAGATATTTACATGTATATGATCCATAACAGCGAGATCCCTGCATGATTTAACAGGACGCCCGTTTGTGATTCTCCTGCAGAACAGGTGAGTGTTTGAGCGGAGTGACACCTCATAAACTAGCTGATAACCTGTTCCTGTGTCTTCTTATCTGTCTTCCAGACAATCCCTGGTCCCTGAGCACGTTGTCGTTTCCCCTCAGGCCCATTATCGGATCCCCTCTGCAGGCTCCAAGCAGCTGCAGTTATTGTGGAAGACTTGACTTTTATAGCCCCATGATGTTTGTGACAACACCAGCGTTTATGAGTGAGTACATTTTGTCTTGTGTGTCTCGTTTCCTTTTTTTTTTTTTTTTGGACTGAGAAGCTTTCCCCTAATTTTCTCTCTTTTTCTCCTCATCAACTAACATCTGATAAATCCTTATTAAATTCCTTAAGAATTTACAACACACCTGACACGTCCGTTTTTTGGTAAACAACTAGAGAAATAGAAACAAATTAAATTCATCAGTGGCTAATATTGCTGTTCTGAAAAGAGTGAATACTATAATAAAAAGAAAAAGGTAAATAAAAGCCGATTGAAGAATTTAATGCTGAATTTAATGTTGAGGTTATTTACAAATATGGTATCATTAATCAGCCATTTTCAATCGTGTTTCAGCACTGATCAGTCCCTCGCACTATCTGTGGGAAACGTGTTATCTCCCTCTGCCATTCATGTACACATTTATTGGATTCCAAGTCTCTGGGATCAATCTTTTGGCCACCAGAGGAGCATAACTAATGGCAACATTAGAATGGCTTTGTGAGAGGGACTGGCCGGATGCGGGTTAACCAAGCAGGAAATAATCTAGGATTTTATATCCTGCATGAATGGCCATAGGATATGCTGAGCATAAATTAATCCCCCCCCACACCCCAAATTTTAGCAGTGAGGTTATCTTTTAACAGTTTCAGAGGGACAGGCGGTTTGTTTGGCTGATTATTTTTTTTCTTGAAGGGGGGTTAGTTTTCTCCCCGCATGCACACATTTGGAATTTCTTGGCAGATAATGACCGTCATCTTAATGCTCAGCCCGGGTCAGACTATCTATTCTGTCTCTGACCGCAGGTCTAGACGGCCTTCCTGTGGAAAGCCTTTTTCCCTTCCTTTTAAAGACCCACTTCTATTTTTCTGTTGTGCCCAAACAAGGATTTTATAAAATGGGTGACATCGCCACACAAGCTGTCTGCCGAATCCCCCTTAATTAAAGTGACGTTTAAAGCCTTCCTCAGACACTAATAAACCCCCTCTCCATTAAGATCCTCCTAATTACTGTGTGCAAAGGAAAGGGGGACACACACAGACAGACAGTGTGGAGGTAAGCCTGCTGGCATTTGGCCCCATAAGCTGAGCGCCACACAAAAGAAAATGTCCCCTGGGTTACCCATCCTACAAGAGAGAGTCCTATTTTTTTTCCAACCTCTCTCCCCCTCTCGTTGTTTTCTTCTTTATGAATGAAAGTATATGACATGTGGGGCTGAGAGTGTCCATTCATGGAGCTGGTGGAATGTGTGAATACGGGGCTTTGAATGAGGCATGAATCACAGCCACCTGATTAGTCATTAAGTAGTCTTTTGACGTTACCATTGTTTAAATGTGCATGGTGGAAGTGAGAGTGCTGTCATCTATGAACACCCGTTCAGTCAAGTGAGGCTGATTAGAAAAGATAGATATTTAGTGAAAGCTGAGAGATGCAGGAAATCAGAAGGCATTAGTTATCAATCATTTCTCCTGGTGAAACGTTGGTAACAGCTGACAAATTAAAAAACATTATTATTTAAAAAAACATAATTCTTACTGTTGTATTTTAGTCCCATGTTAGTCACACACAGCTTTACAGTGGCTTCAATTGATGCGGACAAGAGAATCTCATATTGTTACACGTCACACTGAGCTACAAGTACAAGAGCGTGTGGACAGTCACTACAGCTTCGGTGGCAGAGGCCTGCCCAGAAAGGTTAAACGTGTTTGGTTCATGTCCTGGTCTGCAGATTAATGACATTAACGAAGTTTCCATTAGTCGTGCAACTGGGGGAGACATGGGCGTCCATGCGGAAAGCCACATGACCGAGGCAGAGATAAGAGAAAATGAAATACGTCTTTGTGGAGACAGGAGGGGCCAGGAAGTGCCACTCCAAATTAGCCGCAGGCCCGGTTTGTTGTTACTTCATTAACCCAACAGCCCCGGGAAAAATAAAAGGAGGGGTCACAACCTTAAGCAACGGGGAGGCCTGAAATCTGCAAAGAGAGGCTACTTCTTTGGCTGGATGCAGCTATTGACACAATACAGACGAGTGTTTATTAGGGAAAGTCATAATTTAGAGGAAAGTCCAGTCAATATCACCATTATTACATTTTTAGTTTTTTCCCTCAAACAAGTGTGTTTGCATTAGTACTTAATATTTGACAATTAAGTTATATTTGCTACAGTGTCAATGACCAACAAGTTTCATGAAATTCAACATTTAATGCTACTCAGTTCAGCCTTGTGGCATATAGCGACCCGTTTCTTTACAATGCCCTGACAGGTCGTTGCAAAAGAGATAAAACATCATTCAATCTGTCAGTCTCATCTTTTACTTCTTTTAAAAATGTTAAATATTAAAAATGTACACATTGTAAACATTGTATTTAAGTTAACTTACCTTTTAAATTACACTATCCAATCTGTCTGTGAATACAATGACATCATCTCTCTGATTCAGATCTGACAGCACATGGGTGTAAAAAGTCTTAGTCAGTGAACCAGCTTTTAGTGCATGAATCACTCGAAAACACGTATCCAACGCTAGACAATAGCGTCAATAGCTGTTCTACAAATAAGAATAACATAGGGTAAACCGGGGTCATCTGTATTGTACATTGTGCTGTGTTTGTTGCTCTCTAACATTTGGTGGTGGTGTACTTCAAAACAAAGAGTCGAGTTGTATAATGCCGCCCTTGTTGTTGTAAGGCGAGCTGCGCGGTGGCTCTTTATTTGCAGGCAGTGACTTTATTAGAGTCTATGGTTACAGACCCTTGGAAGGAGGGCTATTGTATTCTCACCCCTTCTCTGGCAAACATGCCTCTGCTGCTCTCTTGCTTTCTACACTCTTCATAACAAACAGGCCCGATGGATTCTGCTGAGTGTCAGTAAACAACTGAAGTTATCGGTATTGCTTTAAGAAATCTTACATATTCATTACTTTAGATCCATACTCAATGTTTATTTCTTAAAAAGTCAACTCATTTCGTACTACCTATTGTCTAATTTTTTCCATCTCTCTCTCTCTCTGACACACACACACACACACACACACACACACACACACACACACACACACACACACACACACATATACCTACTCAGCAACGTGGATCAGCAGCAGCTGACTTGGCTAGAAACTCTGTGTCACAGGTAGACAGAGGCATGGTCCAGCGAGTGTCTACTGAGGCCGCCGACACATGTGCCTGCTTGATTTCACCTGGTAACTGAGCATGTAGTATTTACTTCTCGGCTGAAATGCAATCAGGGACCGGTAGCTGGCAAGGAAGCAATGAGCCTACGATTAGGTGCAGCTTTTTTAGCTTCTCGAAAAGTAAGGAAGAGTTAGAGTTGAAAAACTGGGAAGGCGGAAATGTTTTGTAATAGTTTAGCAACTCACGCAAAACTGTATCAACGTATGTATCACCTTATAATACATATTACATTAATACTAAAGCAGTGGTTATAATAACATTTTAAGCTTACGGTGTAGCTCAAACTATAAAGAAAACGGCTTTGTGCAAGATCATTGAATGTAGAATGAAATGCATTAATATGAGCTGTTTCATTGCTGACCACCAGAGCCTTGTGAATTCCTGGTGGCAGACGTAGTAGTGACACTGCTGAGGTTCCTACGGTAGAGTGCTCCCCTGTGCGCGTATAAACATTAACATCCTCGAGACAAGAGTCACCTCTCTAATCTGGCTGAAGAAGTGTGTGGAGAGGCCCTTTATCCTGCCCTGCTTTAGCCGGTTGCTCACAGAAGAGCCATTTACCTCCACTAATGGAGAGTGAGTCTTTCACCGGGGCCTGTTTGCCTCTCAGCCCTCTGAAAGAAACTTCGCCAGAGAGGAGACATTAAGAAAACCAGTTAATCTGGAGCATTCTGTCTGTGTCTACCCAGGGAGTGGACCGAGCTCCTTGGTGCCTTCTCAAGAGGCTTCTCCTCACAGCAACTATAGAAGTGTTACATCAGCACTTTACTCAGTCGCTCTGATGAAGACAAAGTGGTGAAACAAATGAGTGGTTAGCCTTTTTGGTCATTGTTTAATGTTTATTGGGTTTGAAGGCTTTAAAAATATGTTTCTGATTAAAAAAACAAAAACAAAAAGAACCACACAACATTCACCATTTATTGTGTCCTATCTTAGCACCTTTCAAATTTTGGAAAAGTCAAGTACTGAAGTTGCATGATGACCAAGCAGCTCCGTGAGGCTCTACTTAGGCAAAGTGCTTTAAGTTAAATGCTAACATCATGGTAAATGTTCACATCATGGTAAATGTTCCTAATTTGGAGCGTTAGGATGCTAAAACTTGCTAATTAACGCTAAACAGAAAGTACAGCTAATGCTGAATGTCATGAAATAAGTTTTGCAGTACAAATATAGACCTAATGATGGCGCTGCATGAAAAGTTGAGGGATCATCAGCGTTTGTCCTGAGGGGAACATGAACATGAAAGGCACAAATGTGCCAAATAGGAGTGTCACGATATACTGGTATTGACAATAACCGTGATATTTAGAAATTAAATATTTATATCATGTTAATAATACATGTATGATGATATTGTATTAGTAATCCAGCACCTTTAAAATTATTTTATGGTTTCAGACTCTCTCCCCACCTCCCTACACTTGTATTTTGAGTTTAATTATTTGGCCAAAAAATGTGACAAAACGCACAACAAACAAAGAATTTGACTGAATTATATATGTATATATTTTTAATTTTTTCTCCAATTTTCTATAGATATCGAGATAATATTGTGTCGGGAATTCTTAAAGCCCAATTGTGTGGTGAAAATTTGATATGGGTGTGAATGGGTGAATGACATGTAGTGTAAAAAAGCGATTTAAATGGTTAGAAGACTAGAAAAGTACAAGTCCATTTATCAAAGTTTTGCAAGAACGCACAAAATACAGATGCCGTACTAAACAAAAACAAACGAGGAACAAAACAAATTTGTTCTCTTTTACTTCTGTGGTGTTTAATTCTCACTCTAGCCTATATAGAGAGAGC